GGTTGCAAAACTGTTGAGTCTGCTGAACGCAACCAATCATAAAACGGTTGCAAAACTGTTGAGTCTGCTGAACGCAGCTATTCAGTACTACAACCGCTCACTGAGCGCTCAGTGAGCGGTTGTAGTACGGAATGCACCCAATAGACTGTGCCCATTGTGTTTCCAGCTTTATATTTATATATCAATAGATTTTTCTACTTGTACAATTTTGGTTACGGTCCACTTGATGCTACGAATGCTTCGAAGTATTTTTTAATTGGTTAATTAATAAAATTCTTTCTTCTGATTGGTCAATCAAAAGTTTCGAAGCATTTGTAACGTCAAGTGGACCGCACCCTTTGTACACTTGCGTAATGGCGAATTCGATTGGAAGCACTAGTGCGCACTGGTGCATATTAAAGCCGTTGTACACTGATTTAATTTGAGTATAAAAATGAAATGCAAATATTTCGAATTATAAAATACATATTTTACCTAATAGTACAATAAAATGTATTGAGTATTTCACTATTTAATCGATTTCTATATTTATTTATAAACATATCTGTACGTTATTTTATGTACAACGGCTTTAATGTGCACCAGTGCGCACTGAATGCGTCCAATCGAATTCGCTATAAGTTTTACGCAAATATTTAAATCAAAAGCACATTACTGCTCAAAAGTATTATCTTGTCTCGATGTACTTTTGTACATCGAGACAAGATCTTTTTTATGCGCTTAAATCGCATTCTAATTCTACTATATAAAAATTATTTACATATGCAAATATATGTATTGAAAACGTGAGATATATATATATATATATATCTGAATTTTTCGAAATGGCGCAAGAAAGGGCCTTCGCGAAGTTTGCGGAAGTGACGTTCGCGCGAAACGAAGCTACGATTGGTCGTAGTACACGTGACAATTTCATTTGTCACTTCCGTTTCGCGGGTAAATTACTCAGGTAACGTTTTTAATCGCGCTGGTTACTTGTTGTAGCGTTAAGTGAAATTGAAGAAAAAATACTTTGGTGCAACTGCGACGCTTCCAAAGCGTCCGAAGAGGCAACATGCATGTTCTCAAGCGCGGTAATTTACATCAAACTGAGCAAATACCCTCTCATTTGACATCATTATTTGACATATCCTCGCGCAAAACTATCTTTGTTTCGTTGGTCTTTTCTCTCTTAATGTCTCTTTTATTTGTTGTCAGGTGGACGTAAGGAGCCTGTGCATTTCGATAAGATAACTGGAAGAATTGAGGCACTATGTTACGGTCTGGACATGAATTATGTGGATCCAGTAAGCGTTTGCACATGTACTTTTGTAACTGGTGAAATAAAGGGAATCTTGTCTCATTAATTTTTCATTAATTTTTATATTAATGAATGATTTCCTGAAAATCAAGTTTATCATGATTTAAATACATATATTTATATGTGTAAAATCATTAGATTAAGAGAAATGCATTATTGTATTTATTTTCTATTTATTTTATATTGTATTTTTCTCTTACAGTCTGCGATTGCACTTAGGGTTATAACTAATTTATGTTCTGGAGTAACAACAACCGAATTAGATAATCTAGCAGCTGAAACTGCAGCGACTATGATCAATCAACATCCAGATTATGCAACCTTAGCAGCTAGAATTGCTATATCCAATCTACACAAGGAGACAAAGGAAGTTTTTAATGGTTAGATATTATTAAACATCGATACTACATTATTTATCAATATATGAAAATTTATTATTAATACCTTGTATTTTACAGAGGTGATATCTGATTTGTATCATGCAAAATGTTCGATCACGAATGAACACTTACCTATAATTAGCGAGAAATATTATCAAATTATCCAAAACAATGCAGATAAATTGAATTTAGCAATACTATATGATAGAGATTTTAATTATAGTTATGTTACATTTAAAATGCTTGAGAGTGATCACCTATTGAAACTGAATGGAAAAGTTGTTGAAAGACCACAGCACATGTTAATGCGAGTTGCTGTAGCTATTCACGGTGAAGATATTGATAAGGTTATTGAAACATACAATTTTATGTCGAAACAATATTTTATATATCCTGCACAGACAATAGATACCGCATGTATCATTAAACAACCAAAGGCTAAGTGATTATCTTTACTAATGAGTAACTGAATTTATTAGGCATTGTAATATATTATTAAGTAAACAATATTTTTACAGCACATTTTTATTGACAATGTCTGGTGATAGCATAGATGGAATATTGGATACATTGGAAAGATTTACTGTTCTTTGTGATTATAATGGTGAAGTAGGATTTAATGTACATTGTATTCGAGCAAAGAATACACCTATTAGGGGTACAGGAGGCGTGTCAAACGGATTAGTGCCTATGTTAAAAACATACGATACATCTATTGGAACTGTCTCAAAAAATGGCAAAAATGAGGGACCGATTACTGTATATTTAGAACCGTGGCATTCTGATATTTTTGAGTTTTTGGATCTTAAAAGGAGTATTGGTTATTATCTTTTATTAATATTTTCTCTTCATACTTGTTTTGATAAAGATGTGTGAATATATTTTTTTAAACAACTATATTAGGTGAGGAGCAATTGAGAGCAAAAGGCATGTGTTATGGATTATGGACTCCAAATTTATTCATGAAACGTGTTTTTGATGATGATGTATGGAGTTTAATGTGTCCACATGAATGTCCTGGATTAATTGAAGCTTGGGGTGATGAATTTGAAACATTGTATACCAAGTAATTGATTATACATTTTTAATATAATTTAAAAAATTACATTGAATTTATACAATTTTCAAAGAATGTATTTTCTTATTTAGATACGAACAGGAAGGACTTTTTCGGAGACAAGTCAAAGCAAGGGAGTTGTGGCTTCTCATTATTCAAATACAATGTGAAACAGGAGTGCCATACATAGTTTTTAAAGATCATTGTAATTATAAATCAAATCATCAGCATTTAGGCACAATTAAATGCAGTAGTTTCTCTACCGAAGTAGTTCAGTATTCGAATTCGGATGAAGTTGCCATGTGTAATACAGCTTCAATCGCTGTCAATATGTTTGTGAATTCTACTAAGAGAGTTTTCGACTTTTATAAACTTAAAGAAATAGCGAAAATCGTCATCTACAATTTGGATAAAATGATTGACTTTAATTTTTACCCTCTTCCAGAGGCAAAATCATCATGTGATAAACATAGATCTATTGGTAAGCTATTTGCGTTTGATTCGCATACTATATGCTTTTCTTAAACTCATTTTTAAAATTTCAGGTATTGGTGTACAAGGATTAGCAGATGCATTTATTTTAATGAGATACCCATTTGAAAGCAAAGAAGCTAATGAACTCAACGTTCAAATTTTTGAGACTCTCTATTATGGCGCTCTAGAAGCTAGTTGCGAAATAGCTACTGAAAAAGGTCCTTATGAGTCATATAAGGGTAGTCCTATCAGTGAAGGTGTAAGTATAATCAGAAAATTTCTGTTATCTACTATTGATTTGTTGTGAAAATTATTTACATCTGAAAATGCAAATTTTTTTTTATAGATCCTCCAGTTCGACATGTGGCGTGTGAAACCAACAAATTTATGGGATTGGGATATTTTAAAGACAAAAATTGCTACACATGGAGTACGCAATTCTTTGTTAATAGCTCAAATGTCGGATGCATTTATGGCACAAATGTTGGAAAATAATATATCAGTTGAGCCATACAAGAGCAACATTTATATGATACGTGCATTATCAAAACAATATTCGATTATTAAACCATGTTTGTTACGAGATCTAATCGAGAAAGATCTTTGGGATGAAAACATGTGTAATAAAATTATTCTTAATGGCGGATCTATACAAGTAAATATTCATTGTTTAATGTATATAAAGAGATTTCATATTAAATATTTTATATATAATATATATTTTTAAAATAGATATTAAATATTAATAAACTACACTCTCTCTCTCTCTCTCTCTCTCTCTCTCTCTTTCTCTCTCTTACATTCGTAGAACATTGAGGAGATACCTGAAGATTTAAAACTGCTTTATAAAACTGTTTGGGAAATGCCACAAAAAACGATTTTTGAAATGGCAGCTTCTCGTGGACCTTTTATTGATCAATCGCAATGTTTGAATGTTCACATGGTTGATCCATTAGAGAAGCTTACATCCATGCACTTTTTTGCTTGGGAAAGTGTAAGTATAAGATGTACATTACACAGTTATTTTTAAATTATACATAAATTAAAAAATATGTATTTGTAGGGTTTGAAATCCAGTATGCATCATCTTGTAACTGATGACAATAATATAGAATAGATCAGATATATAAAAAAATATATTTCCAAAGAAAACTGAATGCAGGAAAATATAGATACAGAATTTACATAAACATGAAAAAGTGAAGATTTTAAAAATAAAATATTACAATAAAAATTGTATTTTGAAACTAATAAATAATTAATAAAAATAAAGAGATGTTATATTTTTTTATTAATACGTAAAAATAAATTCAGTTTTCTAAATTATTATAAGACACGTGTTATGTATGCAAATATTTAAATTATGTACTTTTTGATCTAACGATATCACTTATAACCAAATTAAGGGCCAGTTTCACCAACGTCAATTTAATCGGCCGTTAACTGACCAATCGCATTTGCTTTGCATTGTTTAGAAGAATTGACCAATTATGGTTGACAGTTAATCATGATTAAGCTTAAAGGTGTCTTTTTATGCTGACGCTCATTTTCAGCGTCAAAATAGGTCATGTGATCAAAATTGGCGCTTGATATTCGTCAATTTCTATCACGTGACTTATTTTGCCAAAAATGAGCATCGAGTGTCAGCATGAAAAGGTACCTTAATCGGCGTTGGTGAAACTGACCCTTAATATATATCAATATAGGTGCGTTCAGGGAGACGCTATTAGCGCTATTTGTGTCATTCTATCCTTGTTTTACGTCTAATAAACAACGAAAATAGAATGACAGAAGTAGCGCTATTAGCGTCTCCCCGAACGCACCATATATATGTGTATTGTATGGAGACAAAAAAAATTTTGCTGTTGGCGGTACTGAATTCTAGTAAATTCTAGTCCAACAGGCAAATAAACAGAACATGAAAAAATTATTAAGTTAGCCTCAAAATTTAATTTCTGAAAAAGTTTAAAGTTACCTTTTTAAAATGAAAACCTCACGAGCCAAAAAAGCCCGGAAGACTCTTGGATTTTATGTGAACAATTATAAATTTCATCAACCTTTTCAAGTCCTTATTGATGGTACATTTGCATTTGCAGCATTACAGGTTAGCTGTACACGCGTTATTTTCTATTTATTATTTAGATTTCACAATGTTTTATTTAATGTTTAATTTATTTCATCCATCATATATATTGTGCCTTATTATTTTTTAGAACAAATTTAACATACAGGAGCAACTTGCCAAGTACTTCCAATCTGAAACAAAGTTGCTAACAACGGCATGCATCATCTTAGAAACTGAAAAACTTGGTATATTCTCTCCAGCAGTTAACGGTGCTACGCAAATAGTGAAACAGTATGCTATACATAGATGTGGACATGAAAAGAAACCAATAAATGGTTCGAAATGTTTTTTATCTATGATAGGAAAAGATAATAGTGCAAGGTATGTACATATGAATATATTAGAAGGCTAAACATATACCAAAAGAGTTTTTGTTTTATTATAATTATATTTTTATTGTAATTTTACTCATGGGTTTCTCTCGTTTACTATTGCTTCATGATATGGACATTTTTATATAAGCTTAACAATTTATTGGTTTTCTTTATTGCAAGATCATTATTTTGTAAATTCAGTGATACACTGAAAAAGATTCAAAGCGAGGGTCGAAACATCTGTTCAGAATTATTAATACAAAAGAATTTTTACACAGTCATCTAGTGTTGATTCTAATTAGAACTCTTAAGTAGCTATATGTTTATTATAATCAATAGAGACAATAAGTTTAATTGTTTTCTATAATCTTTGCTGAAATAATTAGAAGATTCAGAAAACTGGCTTTAAATTTTAGAACATTTGTTGTGTATTCGAAATGTAGTAATAGTAAAATAAGAAAGTTCCCTTCGTCATATGTTAAGTATGTTTTAAATACAGTTGCCACCTTTCTAGTGTTCTACTATTTCACTGTCCAGAGATTAATAACTAGTACAGAAATTGTCGAAATTGAAATTGTCTTATAATACGTTCTCTAAAAACAGGATCAGATCAAACCCTCTCTCTTGCAGGAAGTATCTTTTCAAAAAATCAGAAGAAAATCGACGTGTGCACTTAAAAACGAAGTTACTAAAATTTTGACTAGTTAGCTAGAGATTTTTTTTCGTGTACTGGAGTTTTGATTGAAAAGCCGGAATTTCTGGCCAAAATCCAGAGAGGTGGGAACCGTAATTGTAGGCTAAACTGTTTATTTCAGAATAAGAGTGAAATATTTTTTATTTTGATGAATTTTTATCATATTTTTCAAGAGAATTTTATTCGACAACATATATAAAAAATTATCTCATATTTTCGTTTCTTTGAGAGTGTAGGTACCCTCCTCAAATATATAATATTAATAAATAAATGATTTAACATATAATCAAGACTAAGTATTAGAAGAAATATTTTTTTAATAAAATTGTACTTGTTATAGATACATCATTGCAACGCAAGATCGTGAACTTCAGAATAAATTGAGGATAATTCCAGGAGTTCCATTAATTTATTTACATGGAAAAGTACCCACACTAGACTCTCCTTCAGAGGCGAGCCATAAACATGCTGAAGCTATGCAGAAAGGTTTAGGTATGTCTACATGGGAGAAAGAAAATGTAAAAGTATTGCGAAAACAAGCAGGACTAGAAGAGAAAGAGACTAAATTGAAGAAAAAAAGGAAAAAGGGAGGACCAAATCCGCTTAGTTGTTTGAGAAAAAAGAAAAAACCAGAAACAATATTGAAGAAAAATGGTGCAAAGTCTGGCAAGGTCAGAAGAAGAAAAATTAAAATAGCGCCACACATTAAAGAGGCTTTACTAGCAGAACTGAAGAATAAACATAGTAAATAAAATTGTATGCATGTGAATCGTGCGTTTGAACATGTATTCTGTGAATATAACTTATAAAAAGTAAAATCGTTAAAAAATTAAAAACTGGGAAAACAAAATGCTTATTTTCATTCAATATCTTATTGCCTTAAAAAATTATATTTTAAAAACATACTATGTATATATACACACATACACGCGCGCGCGTGTGTATGTGTGTGTGTACACAGGGTGTTTCTGCCCATCATATGGTACTGTTTCTGATCAAAAACTGAGTCGAAAAGTCCTCTACCATTTTGCAACTTTTGTAATAGTTAATGGTTGGGCGGCTGAATATGCGCTTATTCAGCAATCTTTAGAAATTAATATTTCGTCAACATTGCAAAAATTGCAAAATAGAGGACTTATCAACTCAGTTTTTGATCAGAAATAGCGCTATATGATTCGTGGGCGGTCTTCAGAAAAAAATCACCACTTTTATGATAAGATTTAAACGGATATCATATTTCTTAAGGCCATCACACATAAAAAAATTTTAGTTATAACTGTAAGGCCATAAACATATCGACCAATAGAAACACTCACAGCTGCGTATTGCAAGATCATAATTTTAATTATGGCTGATTCACTTACGATTCCGATTAAAATTTCCTTACGTGATGGCCTTTATGATCATGTTAAATTTGAAATGTTTAGAGTTTTCATAGAAAAATCTTTCATAATTCTTCAGCTTTGTATTAATAAAACTTTGTTATAAATAACCGAAATGATTCTTATTTAATATAAACAATTTACAGTGTTGTGAAACGTATTCGTTAACGAAAAAATAGCGACGCGCGCTATTTGTAATTACACTTGAGATCATTTTTAAGTATGAAAATATTAAAAGAAAAAGAAATAACAAAAAATTCTCATTTCAGAAAAAATGTATATTAATCTTCTTTAATATGATATTATTAAATAACATTGTATAATGTAATTGTCCTAGATCTTAACATACAGTTGAATACATGAATCTGGAATTAGGAACTTCCATATATATGTGTATATATATATAGAAAGTATAAAAATGTTGGAAAATAATCTTTTCGATGTAGGTAATACAATATTATTTACAGTCCTTGTTTAAGAACTTTTAGACAATATTTAATACTATATTATCATAGTATACATTTATTAGATCATTATAGTTGAATAGTGGTAGATCTATATTTTCAGAGGGTTAATATTTTTTTCGGAAAGTTCTTAAAAAATATATATATACATATAAAACACATATAATATATATGTAACAATTATATATATATCTTTCATATATATATATATATATATACACACATATATGTATACGTTTTTATAAAATTAAGTGTGAATGATAGAAACAACTAATTCTTTACTGCAACAAAAAAACGAGAAATTTAATATAAAAAAATTAAATTAAAAAAGCTGAAGTTTTTAAAATGCGATCTTGATATGTATAATGGCTCTTTGGCATACCAAGACTTCATAGTTTTTATGCTTATAAGCATCTTACAAATTGATCTACCACTATGTAGTTAAATAACATAATCTCTTTCTATTAGATACAAGTATTTGAACTCAATCATATAAATCATATATAAGTAAAACAATTCCACATTTATCTTATTCAGTTGAATAGTAGAATTATCATGACACATATTTTTATTTATTCCGATATAGATCTTTTCTAGTTCACAAATTGCTAGTCACAAAAATAGAATCTTTTTCGGTCAAAAAATTATATTTCTAAACAATTATTAAGCCAAAATCTTTCAAAGTTAGATGTTTTAATAAAAATTTTTACAGACGCATTCTTTCATACAAGTATGATTAAATATATATTATGAAATCCATGCACTGTCTATGTTGAGGTTATAAAATTTGAAGAAATATTTACTATCAACTTATAAATGAAAATTTATTTTTAGTCAACACACGTGTGTGTGTGTGTGTGTGTGTGTGAGCGCGCGCGCGCGCGTGTGTGTAGGATGTACATTGTTCATGCAGAACTTAATAATATGAAATTAAAAAATTATTTTCTTTTAGTCTTAGCACTGACCATTTTCTAATACTAATCTATCGTCAACATTGTGCTCAACTTATGGTTTTTTAAATTTCAATTTATTTTATTTTTTAAATATAGCTTATGTAAAAACTTTAGCTTATTTAAAAAATTTTATTAAAGCATTTAAGCTCATAAAAAATAAATGAAGATTTATGGCGTATTAAATATATGTG